CTGGGTACAGAGGTGGTCAATAGACCCTCTGCTCCAAGAGACTGGCCACTGGCATAAAATACTGATTATAAAATGACTAATTGTATAGTAGAATAGAGACAGGAATTGAACATGATTATGAAGGTGGATAATTAATATTATTTTCATAATTAATCAGAACATGCATCAGTGTGCTACACTTAAGAAAAGATAATCTTAAACATTTTGAAATATTCAACAATAATAAGCAAATTATAAAAATATGCATTTAAAAAAGGAGAGGGTAAAATAATTAAATACCTGGTTCTGTAACAGAACTGCTTTCTTTTTCAGTCTGAAAAACACCTTCACACTTTCGCTATGAAAACACTGATGCACCGTGTGATCTCTGTAGTACTCGTCAAGCAAGAGGAACTGTAAATCTTCCAGTCTGTGTGGTTTGGCTAATTTATTTTTTTTTTTGCCTATAGATGTCGGTGACAGTAGTTTTTCACTGTATGCATTATATTCGTTGTTCTGTTAGTGTAAGTAAACGTCTTTTTGCAGTATTTGGAACACCACCTCTTGCTCACTGCTGATGTGCAGGTAAAGCAAGCTTGGACCTGTAAACACAGCGCCCCCTCTGTTCAAAAAAATGTATCACGATTCATTCAACATTTCTGCTGATTGGAATAGTCACACATTTGAATTGATTTTCAACCGACTAAAGGTGAATTGTTACATCCCTAAATCCTAAGCATCTTATGTAGGTAATGGCAATTTTAGAAATGACGCAACTTGATTTTCATCATGAATATTACGAAAGATGCTGGCAATGACATTGAAAAGAAAGTTGGTTTGCCACAGACTGCTGCATTAAGGGTAAATCTGCTTGATCTGAGCGATTTAGGAAAGTTATGTGGGGGTCTGAGATCTTGAAGGGGGTCAATGCTCACTCCTGCTTGGTCTTCTGCTTCTCAGCAGTCGGTGTCACATGATCACTTCTGACCTCCCCAGCACCTTTGATGATATGGTGCAATTTGGGATTAAGATCTGCTTAAGAGCTTTTGCTGCAAATGGCCTCATGAACCCACTGGACAGACCCACTTTCTTTTAGAATTGACAATGAAGGTTGTTGAAGCTATTTTAACTAAGCACTCTGCTTTGAGATCACCTTGGCGTGAAATGGAGTTTGGGAGCAGCCGTAAACCCCAGTTGTTTTCCTCTGATGTTATGGGAACAGCCAGCAGTCTTTCAAAATCGACAGACCCAGTTTTTACCTTGAGGGTTTTTCAGCTTGAATGACTAATATAATTCTGTAGAGACAGGTTGTGCATCTTTTAAAAAGATAACATCCCATCTGCTAATTTTGGATAATGCCAATAGCCACCGATAGAGGAGTTATTTTCTTTAGATCTTAGCCTGAGAAAAGGAAAGAGAGAGAGAGAAAAAAATGCTTGGCATCACACCAGAGAGCAACACAGACAGGATTATCTTGCTGTAGACATCAATCATTATGTTTTATAGACGCAGTTCTGTAGAATTAGTTTTGTTTGTGTATTCCTGATAATTACTAAGAAAGTAAATGTCTTTGTGGGTTTAGGTGTTGAAAAATGCAGACTGGTAACCTGCTGATGAAGGACAATATCTGAATCTCAACCGTTCTCTTTCACATCTCATTGACTGTCATAACACTGGTTTCCCAGTGGCCTCACAGCCTCGGCTAACAGACAGAACGCATTCCCGATCAATTCAACGTTTAGTTTCACAAGTACTGTTGTGTCAACTGTCTACAGTTGGCAGCTTGTGTGAACCACACTGCAGATTGCAATTTTTTTATTTTATTTTGCCAATCAGCATAAGGATGAGATATTACTCACCCCCCAAACTGCCATAACCATGTATTAAGCATCAGTTCTCTAGATGATGGTGTAATGTTCAAGTTAAGCTGTTTTAAATCACAAGAAACCCCTTCAATGGACAACCATTGATGTGCAAATTTTAAATATGTAATATTTTTCACAAATTACTATAATAGCCCATTTATGTGGGTCAAAGACACATTAAATTGTAAGCATTAAAACAATGAAAGCAAAACTGAAATCTTTCTTTTTATTACACTATTATTGTTCAGTGCTTCCCACACATAGACTTTACTTGGGCGGGCCACCCAGGTATATTAACAGCTGCCCAAGTATATTTGGTGGTGACGCATGAATAATACTATTATTAGTATCATCCTTTTGCACTTTTTTTTTGTATCCGCCCAAGAAAGCCAAACGTTCGCGATCGATTAATCAGTGGAGAATCTTCTCTCGCTCTGCATGTTTCCTACTGTTGTGTGCACGAGAACTGTCAACTCTCACACAGACAATCTCACATGCTCTGAAGACCCACAGAGATGCACCTTTTGCACCAAAATGTATCCGGCTGTAGTTTCTGAATATTCTAAAATGTCCAGGATTCAGCTTTTGCTTTGGCTTTTTAAAATTGCAGTTATTTGTATGCGTTTTTGCATCACCATTTCACAGCTGACTGCGTGCGCACATCCGTGAGAGAAACGTTAAATGATTACTTATTTACTAAACAACTCAGATAAACTTAACCATACTCGGAGAAAACAAAATGACATCTATACTGGCTGCAAAATATTTGTACACTATTAGAAATGGTTAATCAACAAATTTGCCTCATTTTAATAATTAACACTTTCTATTCTTGTAATTTATTATAATTTTTTGCAATATTGTCAGTTTTCATTCTTTCTGCTATTTCTTATTTGCTGTATATTTAACTGATTCAATTATATTTTATTTATTTTATTAATGTTAGCACTATATGCTTTAAACATATTTAAAATGTTTTGAGAATACTGTACAAAAATGTCATGCCAATAAAGCAACTTTAGAAAGAGAGGGAGAGAGAGAGAGAGAGAGCAGCCTTTACCAGTCATTGTCAGTATTTAATTGTGTAAATGTGTGAATGTATATTTTTTCAGTTTTTAAATTCATTGCACTAATATTATTGTGATATAATAATAGTAATATTAAAATGTTTATATGATTTATCTTCAATATAGTTTGTAACGTAATATTTTCTGCCTTCTAGTAGAGATATTATATGAGAGATTTGATTTGTTTACCAAATACATGGATCTAATTGGATTTGCATTGTAAAATTAAATAAAAGTTGAAAATGTATCATTTATTATTTCATATATTAAGTTTTTAGTTATGATACTCCTAAAATCATTCCGCATAAATTCACAGATTAGTTCCAAAATTCTCAGCAGAAATAGCAAATAATGTCCACAGATTATTATTATTATTATTATTATTATTATTATACATTTTTACCAGTATTTACTGAAGATAGCTGCTGAAGTGAAATTCAGTGTAACAATAGTTTATAAAGCAAGTAATCTTTTCAGTTCTATAAAAGATATAGTGTAGCCCCCAAATATTAATTGCTTTAAATCCTTGTACTTTGACACTGTCTGTCAAACCACAATCTATTTGTCAGTAAAAAAAAAAAAAAAGATTTTTAAATAAAATCAAATTTGAATATTTATTCTTTTAGATATTTTAATAAGGTTCAGGTCAGAGTGTGTTTTAGATGTGTATATATTTACACTTAATGGCAAGGCAAGTTTATTTATACATTTATATATATTTAAAGTGCTTTACATAAACAAGAATAAAAGAAACAAGTAAACACAAATAATACAAATAATTAAAATGACTATAAAATAGATAAAAATGTGTTATAAAAGAGTAAAAAAAGAAAAGAATAACATAATAGTGCAATCTGTCGGACGTACAAGTGCTCATTCAGTAAAGGCACAGCTAAACTGATGCATTTCAATTTTTTATTTGAATGTATGTAACCATGCAAGTTATTTGTTTATTTATTTTCTGCATATTCTGACAATTGTTGCACAAGTTGTTTTATACTTTTATGAATTCAGTATGCTAACGCAGTATCACATGTATAACATAACATTGTAGTACTGTAAGTAAATGGTCCTTACTAAATTATATAAAGTCACTAAAATATGAAATGTCCCTCAGTGTCAAAATAAAATCTTTTAACGTCTTAGCTGGAAGTTATATTGTAATGTAAAGTGGAATTTTAGCCATTTATTAAAATTTTTATTTAAAATATACACTTAGTTTAGGATTGGCCAAAACATTTGCTGCTTAGCCATTAAGTGCAGGACATGTGCGGTCATGAAAATGAGCCACACTTGTGTAGAACTCCATTCATGTATGCTTATCTGATGGTTGATTCTTGTCTGAGTTTAAAATCTCACCATCTGTCAGTAGTTCCCACTGGAGTTTTCATAATAAATATAAAAACATCCATACACCTATGCACACAATGCTGTCTTTGTCCTTTTGAGCAATGTCATCTCCCAAGATATCACTCTCTTTATTGTAACCGCTTTCTGTCAGACAGAGATTGGTGATTGTGCGAAAGCTTCTGATGTTTAGGGTCACAAACTCGGCCAGGTGCCGTTTGGGTGAAGCCAGATTGAATGCCGCACACAAAATTGCCTGTCCTTTCTCCCCGTGTCGACTCTTTTATTTAACGTTTCTTTATTTAGGTGTTAGATGGAGTGTTGGATTTGAATCTCACACTTGGTTGGGTGCTGGTCATGAGAGATGGTACACAGCAACAGTTGTGTGATGGAAGACACCGGGGGTATTTGTGTTTGTGTGAGCTGAGATGCAATTAGCATGCTGCTGGAAACACTGTGCTGTTTATTAAAGTCAACATGGAATCACAGTTTATTTCCTTGATGCATATTCCTGCGGTTACTGTGAATGATTCGTCATTAAACTTTATTTATTTACTTTTTTAAAATTGCACATTTATTTGCTCGGCCTGTGAAACAACGCTCCTTCATTTGAACTCTTCCTACACAGCATAACAGGACATTATTGATCTGCCACAACATGTCACAAATACTTTTATGCTGTCAAAGTATTATTGTTGTCTGTGTATGTACTTTTGCTAACAATAAATTATTTTTCTTTTAGGACCCTGCAGGAATTTTTGAGCTGGTGGAGCTGGTGGGCAATGGCACGTATGGTCAGGTGTATAAGGTAAGCAACATGCATTCTTTTGCTTTTTCGTTGCATAGTTTTTTCCACCACGGTTGAGATTTTGAGCTTTGGAAGTAATAAATAGACACGTTTGTGTTGTATATCTGATTGTTTGTCCATGTTTAAAGGGATTATTCTCTAAAAAAATGAAAAATCTGTGATCATTTACTCTCCCTTCTTTCTTCTGTTAAACACAAAATAAGATATACAAAGAATGCTGAAAACCTGTAACCACTGACTACTTTTGTATGTGGATGCCAATGGTTACAGGTAAGAATGCACAATTTTGGCTAAAATGAGAATCATTATTTTGTTTTTACTAAAAATAAAAATCATTATTTTCTCTCGATTACGGTAAAATAAAAGTTAATATGATTATTATTATTATTATTATTATTAAGATCTACTGTTAAATTGCTAAATTTTGTATAGACTTGGAAAGGTGGACTTGAATAAACTTTAAATTTAGTCCTGGTCAATTATGCACATTAAACTGATTACATCAGCATACTATTATTCATAATTCTCAAGTTGATTTATTATGTTTGAGACGTATGCATAAAATCTGTCACTGACAATATTATTAGATCAACTTTTTTCACTGGTAAAATTTGTCATTATCAGATTCTCCCTTGCATTACATACAACATTATATAGGCTAGAGTAGTTATGCTGACACGCTGTTAAACGTTTATTCTCATTTACAACATTTGTGCTTGCCATGAAAGAAACAAGCATATCAAATGCTTGTCATAATCATAACTTAAAAATAGGATATGTTTATTTAAATAATGTGCGTGATTTCAGTTTCACTTTCACTACTGGGTGCAGTTCATGTCAGGGCTGCCATCACTCATGCATTGAAATCATACTTCCCGCGCGGCTCCCAGACGATCATTCTGTGCAACAATCTGAACCTTAATAACAACTTTATTACCTGTTATTCACAGCCTATGCAGGTTCTGTTCACTAAAGTAGATGTCATTTGCGGGAATGCATAAACATCCTCTCTGTAGTAAACAAACTTTAACAAAATGTCGCTGCTTAAAACTTATAAATACTTTATGTGAGTCTTTTAACTCCATTTGGAGGCTGAGCAATGTATATATTAACAATGGCGGCCGCTATTATGCTTCTCTCCTAAAATTGAAAATATAATTGGCTGAATCGTAGAGATGCTGGATTAAGATCATGTGGGGGGGTCGAATAAAGATCTTTTTTTTTTGATTATTCGTGCAGCCCTAGTTACAGGCTTTCAACTTCCTTCACATTTATTATATTCTGTTCTACTGAAAAAGAAACTCCATAAAAATTTGGAGTCACTTGAAAGTGAGTAAACAGAAAACTTAAATTTTTACTTTAACTATTACTTGTGTGAATACTAATGGATATTTTATTTCATCAATCTACATTTCTTTCCAAACCATTGTGATTGTGGACAATGCCATTTTGGAAAAGTAAGTGCAGTGGACTGACAAGATGCCTATTTTTTTAAATAAACAACAGGGCATATGGTCTGTATAAGGCTTACTAGAGGACATGCGACCCCAATATCTCAGTTTGTGATTGTTTTAAAAGGTAGAAGAAATTGACACTGTAGGCACTTTCTGTTGTATTGAACAGACATTGACACCATAGGCTTAGAAGAGAGCAGCATCAACATTCTTCTTAACATCTCTTTTTTTTGTCCCATGAGAGTCCAACAGGGTGAGGATGAATTTTGGAGAAACACTAGACCTTAACTAAGCCAGACATCTTCAGATAGAGTGTTAAACCGTTCAGTCAGATCAGGTCCTTGCACAGCCCACCAGACCAGCATGTGGCCACAAATCTGCTCCCCGCTGCGGAACCAGGACATATGCTGTGGAGGAGGAGACGAGAGGGGTGGCCGTGAGATGGAGGGTGACGCAGTGAAGGGAAAGAGATGAGAGCTGGCACCGTGCCGGAGTTAGCAGATAGAGCCTAAAAGAAGTTCTTTAGTGGGTGGAATGTGATAAGAGAGTGTCTGATGTACACGCGTCTCTCTTTTTGCCTTGAAGCTGCAGACACAGACACGCACGTTTCAGATTTGTGGAGCGAGACGATCTGTGCTCAGACGGGGAGGTAAATCTCTTCCCCTCAGCTTCTTTTTAGTTACTTTGTCGGTCTCTGCTCTGTCATTCTAGTTTGCCCTTCACGTCTCGGACATATGGAAGCGGGTCTGAGTTGCTCCGGTGTGACCTGTGGAACTTGGGTCAGTGCACTGTAAGCACACTTCATCCTCTAACCTTATCCTTCAGTTGCACTTGTCTGCCCCAAATCAATCCTCACGATAACAACCCGATTCACATAAGGTCAGGTTTATAGTGAGATCAAACGCTGTGGTTGATGCCATTAATATCCTTTACTCTGAATCCATACGGCAGAGCGGATTATTTTACCCTGGCTGGTAAAAAGTGATAGACGATTCCTAGTGGATGTGAAGGTCATTGAGCTCTTTATGTTTATAGGGGTAACTGCAAAATCCCGTTTGCACATCAAGTAAAGGATTGAAAGGTAGAATGACATAATAATTCAGGGCAAGTGAGAGAGGGAATGGAATGCACTTATTTTGCCGGCATCATTATTTGCAGTCTACCCTTTGAGTAATGGTCATTTGAGAAGGGCTTGACGAATCAGGCAATAGCTTAGAAGACCACGCAGTGTCTTAGGCCAAATCCCAATTCAATCCTTCCACTCACCCCTACCTCTAGTTTTGTACATTCACGTGAAGGGGTATGGGTGTCCCAATTCTATTTAGCTTTAAGTTGTAGGGCTAAGGGGAAGGGCAAGATAGCCCTTGAAACAGAGACTTTTCAGGACCACACTCAAAAACAAGGGGTATAAAAATTTCCCAGAATACAACATCTAAAACGGCAGAATTGCTGCAGATGGAAGGAGATGTACAAATTAGATTTTTTTTTGTCATTATTATGATTTTTTTTACAACAAACAAGCTTATGTTTTAATCGAATGGCGTTCGTATTTTACCGTCATGGTTTAAAAAAACCCAGATAATAACCCCCTAATGTATTTTCGTGTGTTTAGATGAATATGGCCCTGGTGTAAATGCAATTACAAGCTTATTGCCACATTATATCATGACAACATGATATCATTACCTTCAGTAATTTCGTAAAGATAAATACTAAAAAAATAACACAATTGAAGTAACTACAGCAGTTGCTTCATCAAACTCTTATGAGAGATAAGGAGATGAGAGATAAGAGATTACGATGACATACAGTGACGTGTACAGATGTGGTAGGGCTGTCCCATTTCTTAGGGGTAAAATTTGAAGCCCCTCCCCCTCACACTCTTATTTAAGGGCCAGGGGGACAGGGTAGGGGTAAAAAATAGAATTGAGATTAAAAAGTTTTAAAAGTTGAAAAAAATGAAATTTAAGGACCTTAAAAAGTATTAAAGTCTTAAATTCTATTTTACAATGTATTAAAGTTAGTATAACTTTGTATGAATATTAATTAAATAATCGTAGTGTATAATAATATTGGGTTGCTGTGCAGTTTATGAAATTGATAAATTCCTGCTAGATTTGACCTCACTGCTTTGTTTACTGCAGTAACTAAGGCAACATCATATTTTTCGCAGTTCTATAGGTGTCACCAGCTGGATTAGCATTTTTTACTCGGTATACAGCACCTAATCTGTAGTTTAACCTTGGGGTTGATGAACTTTTCAAGTCAAGTAAAACAGTAAGAAGGTCTGGTAATAACTTTTATGGTGCTATTGTTTTGAGATTGTGTGCGGTGTAAGAAAATAAAGAGTGGTCACTTTAGGCGTCCCAGCAGCTGGTCAGTGTAGGATCTACCTGGTAACACTTCAAACCACCCGTGAGCATCTTTCCACATCTCATTCATAATGGAGCAGCAGTTCCTCCAGTTCCTGGAAAGACTGGCCTAAGACGGATCCCTGAGGTCTGACTGTCATCACCTTTCCATTTGCTTGATTTAGGTGTAGGTCACTAATTTCATTCTGTCATGACTAGTTCACAATGTAGTACAGAAGTCACACAAATTTCCCATTGCTCCATCTCTAACTGTCAGCTATTTTTATTTTTCAAGACACACAAATTTGCTGGCGCTCCGTGTTTGGTCAGACAAGAGCTGAAATGGCTGAATTATGTGCTCTTTTTCTTACACATGGCTTCTCCAGACATTGCCACTTCATAGATGATATTATCCCTTCTTTTATTTAATTACATTTTATATAGCTCATGCACAACAATACACCAGTAATTAGTGGACTTAGAATGATGAATTGCTCTCCCATATTCAGCATTCTCAGAGTTTAAAATATGATGCAACCAAAACTAAGTATACTGTATGCAGGGCTTGACATTAACTTTTCTGATCACCTGCCATTGTGGCTCGTAGTTTTCCAATGTTACTAGTTCCACTGACCATTTTCACTAGCGACAATGTGTCAAAACAAGCAAAATATAACTTTTTAACCAACAAAAATATTTTTAAAGACAATTGACATTAAAAAAAGTAATCTCATGTATCTAAAACTATACACGGTAGTCTGTCCAGGCTAAAGGTCATAGATCACTAGTTAACTAGATAAAAATGAAGTGATCTCCTATTAAAGCAATGTTTTTGTAAAGGATGATAATTAAACCACATTGACAAAAAAAAACTGTAAGCCAAAGAAAGCAGGTGAACAACATACCGTGTATGATAATGAAAGGATAATCACACGCACACGGTTAATGTACCGACCCATTACTAATCAGTTCAAACAATGGTTAAAGCAAAAGCAGCAACCGCTGCTGCTTACAAAAATCTGGAGCTCTTGAAAACAGCAGGACTGTGGGTGTATGAGCACAGCTTTTTTTCCAGTCTGTTTCAAAGAGAAACGGTTGCACCAGTTGCGTTTCCAGGCAAGGTTGCTTCACACAGGAAAACGGGACAGGGAGCTTTCAAGCACTAGCATGCATCACATCAGCTGTGCGTGCAACA